GAATTCAAAATAAAGAGGCTGTGGAAATCAAGAAGGAAAATAAAACATGTTGGATTTTGTTTGTAGAGATAAGTAGGAACGCTCTGAAAAGAATCTCAGGGGAAGGAGACAGAGTGACTTGAGGAATGAAGAGTCAAGATCTCATCATGGACATTCGCCCTGCTCTGCAGGACAGGGGTATTTATTTTAACATAATAATGCCAACTATGAATGACTCTATTACATTTGTTTTGGTAGCTATACAATTTAGAAGTTACATGAGATTAGTACTTATTTCTAAAATGTTTTGTTATCAAACGTTTACAAAAACACAAATACCTTAGGAATCATATTTTATTTTATTTCACTGGGAATGGAAGTGGGTAGAGATGTTGCTCAGAGAAGGCAGAAATTACCTAATAGTAGGCAATTAAAATAGTCAGTGAACTTTTTTCCTGGCACTTCGTGTGAGAACCACCAGAAAGGCAAAATACTGCCTGTCCAAACACATTTGCAAAAGTCTCAAAATTGATTGAAAAATTAAATGTAAAAGTAAACTACTAAGCTGTTAAACTTAGAAAATAGGAAAAATATCTTAAGAAAAACACATGGGTAAACATTCAGGGCACTGGATTTGGTAATGGATTCTTAACATCACACAAGGAACAGAAGGAAAACATAAGCAACCAAAACAACAGCAACAGCAGCAACAAAGTTTTTATTACTATGGTTGAATATTTTCCTCAGAGATTCATCTGCTGAAAACTAAATCTTCAAATGTTCAGCATATGTGGGTAATATTTGTAGTTGAGGGCTTTGGGAACTAAGTAGTATTAGATGAGGTCAGGATGGAGCCTCGTGATAGAATTAGTGGTTTTATTAGAAGAAGATGGTCCTGAGCTCACATGTATCTACTCTCTCCTCATGAGATGATTTCTGCAGAGTTATGACATCATCAGAAGGTGCTAAGCAGATGTGACTGCTTGGCTTTGATCTTCCTGGCTCCAGCACCGTGAGCCAAATCATTGCCTATGACGCTTGAATTGTCCAGTCTCACGCATTGTGTTACACAATCACAATGGACTAAGATTTGTATCACTTAAGGAAGTGAAAAGACAATCTAGAGAATGAAAGCATAGTTTTTCAAATACTATCTTCAATAAATTTGGAATATCCAGCACATGTAAGGAAATCATACAAGAAAACAGCATAAAGTCAGATAACCCACTAAAAATTGCACAAATGATTTGAAAACAAATCATTCTAAAACATATACAAATGGCCAAAGGGACGATGAAAAGTTTTTCAATATCAGTAATTATTGAAGAAATATAAATCAAACAATGTAGTTTACTAACATGAAAAAAAGAATGCAGAAAACATAAGTATAGACAAAAATAGGCAGATATTTATATATTTGTGCATCTGTGGTCATAATATAAAATGGTAAATTGAGCCCTACTTGTTGGAGAGAGTTTTGTGAGTCTTCAAGAATTTAAATGTAGAACTCACAGTTCTATCCCTGCATATATAATATAGTATTTTTTTAATTTTCAAAATTAAAAAAAAAGAATTTTGAAATAGTGCAACAAGTACATGTTTTTGGAGTAGTATTCAGAATAGTCAAAAGCTGGAATAAGGATAAATATTTATAACCAAAAGAATGGATGAATGTGTAGTGAAATGTTGACACTTTTCAGATAGATGTGAATTTTGAAAACAGTATGGTAACTACTGTATAGTCCGGCATAAATCATTGTTTGTATGACTCAACATACAGAAATTACCACGAACTGCTAGGCCAATAGAGACAGAAACACCTATTGGTAATAGCTGGAGCTTAGGAATGGGAAAAGTGTTTAAAGGGTAGGTGGTAGCAATGGAAATGTTTTATAGCTAGACGATAGCAGTGGCTTTATATTATGAATATAATAATTGCCATTGACTTGTTTCCTTTAAATGGTTTAATTTTATGGCATATGAATTTGTAACTCAAATTATTTGAATAGAAATGACTCTAAACAGGATTTCTCTTGTAAAAATTGTCATGTTTCTTTGAATGAAATGCCTTTGTATTTTATCACCACAATTAATAGGTATACCAAATAATAGTGTTTATTATAGCCAATAAAATATTTTATTTGAATATGATTTTTATGATTTTGTCAAAGTTTCAAATTTGGTGTAACTGGGCCAATTGTATTTACCAGTTACACATATTTTAAAAAATACAATTAGCTAAGTAGATTTTATTAACCATAAGGGAACTGATAAATATTAACAATAAGACTCTGCATAAATGGAAATATATATATTTTTATGAATAATATCAAGTAGGAATACAATTGACTCTGTCTTCTGACATTATTCAAACTGATTTATTTTTCCCAGAGATTTTCATATTGTATGAAGTAGAAACTCTTTGTATATCTCTCTCTTCATAATAAACACAACCCTGATCTGATCTAGTTATTTTCTTTACCAGAGGTGAGTATAACTGCAATTTTTCATTCATATGTAAGTTGTCACTTAAGTATATATTTCTGTCCTCATTAACAAAATCTGGTACATTTTTGGTGATATTTTTAAATCATTACAACAGAGTAATGCCATGTCAGTCATTTTGGTTTTATTTCTCACTCAACTGTGTGGCTTTGGACTCACCTATGTTATTTGGTTCTATATTGTTTCCTAATTGTGTAAATATAGGCTTACTACGCATTTACACATTGACTTTCAAAGAGCCTATACTGTTGAATAATCCCACCAACAAAGTAAGCATTTTAGCTTTGCTTCAGCTCCTCGGTATCATTTGATATTTGCAGAATTTTAAAATTTTTTGTAGAGTATGAAAGTTGTATATCATTTTATATTTACATTTTTCAAACTATTGTGAAAATATACGTATGGGCCATAGGAGTTTTCCTGTACTGTCATTATGTAGTCCATTATTTAAGCATCAAGTAAGTATATCTACGTTCTCCAACCTGTGCTTTATTTGTGATGATTTCACCATGCATACTTTAATCATATATCATGAAATGTTTTAATCTCTGAGTTTGAATTGCATTTAAGAATCTTTGTCATCATGAAGACTTTGTCATAGTCTTAAATTCCAAGGTTTGAAATGTTAGGAATAAAAGTATTAGTGGCCATGACAGTTCTGACATTTGGAGGAAAGAAGCTCCATGAATAGCAGAGAGGAAAGCCCTCTGGATGGGAAGAAACAGGGATGTTAGGCTACACACATCCTGAAATCACAGGTGCTCTTTATTGTTAGCTTTGAGGTGCTATTAAGCTGGTTAATCTAATTTTGAAAATACCCTTTGATTACATAGTATGTTCCAAAATTATTATGTTGCAGTTAATGGAGAATAATTTTTCATAAAACAATAATTTAAAATAAATAATAATTTAAGTAAAGAAAAAGCACAAAAGGTACAAAGGAAATGAAGAAAGGAAGGAAGGAGAATAAAAAGAATCTTATTGGAGAACAGTGTTTATTTGTTGTTTGCATACCTTTATTTTAAATAATTATGAAAATATTTTCTCCTGATTTTGATAGTTCTTCTCCATAGTCCTGAGAACATATATCAGATGAGGGATGTGTGCGTTTTTCTTTCCACTCTACCACTTGTTCTAACCTAAATGACTCTCTTAGTGATGGAAATTATGTCATCCTATTGAAAATGGAGGCTGACATATAATGATGAGTCTAAGTGGTTTATAGTTTATCATTTGTAGCTAATTAAACATCCCCAAGACTGATTCAAATACTCCAGGACTTAGGGTGTGCAAAATCAGACTCACATAATTTAAATAAAATCTATTCCCTAAGTAGTTCTGTATTATGAACAAACAATAGAAAGTGGGAATTCTCGTATCATTGGTAACTGACAATTTGTTTAATTGGAAGAGTGCTGATGAAAGATTTCTTTATTCCATCTTTTTTAGTCCTACTTTTAATTTTTATGTTGTAAATCTTGTTATAAATAATATTGAGCATTATAATTTAATTACTGGTATTTGTGACATATTTAGTTGTAACTTTATGAACAGTTACCTTTCCATTATTTCAAGGACTCCATAAATTTTAACTAAAAATATTAACTAACGAAAGATCATCTTTTTATATTTTCTCAGAACAATTCTACTGAATTTCACTGGATATGAAAGTGCAAAAGCATAGAGAATGTCACGAGTTTAAATATTAAGAAGAAATATAAATGAAAAACAATTTAGTTTTAAAATGTGATGGAATTCCATGTAGTTAAGAAAGAAATTTGAATGAACACAATTGTCACATAAATTTCTTGGCCACCTTGTCCCTGACACATTCCTTAATCCCATTTAGACAAGCCCAATAGGACCTGTTAGAGACAGAAAAACTTAGAAAACAACTTACAAAATACTATAATAGAACAAGCAGTTGCTGTGTAGACTCAACCTAATTTGGCATATTCTATTTTTAAACTAGATTTGACTAATATTTTGCCCTTCAATATTTATATTGATATTTTAAAATAATATTTTCATTCTATATTATACAAGATATTTTTACAAGCTTGCTGAAAGATCTAGAATTCTGAGACTGTTTTCCTGTGATCTGTGCTCTGATGGGTTTGAGTGTCAGAAGAATATTTTTCAACTTGCTGAGTATGTGTTTTAATATTTTCATATAGTACCAGCTAAAGAATGCAAGGATGATTAACTAGTTGCCCTGAGGTATTAGAAATCTCACAAATTTAGACTGTGAGTGAACACGTATATCGCCAGTCTGTATCTATATTGATGGCATTGAATATTGACTAACTATCTTCTCCTTGTTCATTCATCTTCTGTTTAGACATTATATATTTATTGATAAAAAGTAAATGTAGTATATATTGATATAAAAATACATTGTGTATTGATAAATAAATATAGATTTCATGTTCCTTTGACATACAGTAGTGTATTTTCATAGTAATATGGACTATAATCTTCCAAGTATCTTCAAGTCTTTTCTATGTGTTTCCAGCATGAACAATATCACAGAAGTTGCAACATTTGTCCTCAAGGGCTTCACAGATGATACTCAACTGCAGCTCATTCTCTTTTTCCTGTTCCTGGCAATCTATCTTTTTACTATCATGGCAAATATAGGATTGATTGTACTGGTCCTTGGGGATTCCCGGCTCCACAACCCAATGTACTATTTTTTGAGCGTTTTATCATTTGTGGATGCCTGTTTTTCTACTGTTATTACTCCAAAAATGTTAGGAGATTTTATGTCAGAAACAAAGGTCATTTTATTTCTTGAATGTGCATCACAGATGTTTCTTGCTGTTACTTTTGGGACCACAGCATGCTTTCTCTTGGCGGCAATGGCTTATGACCGCGACCTAGCCATCTACAACCCACTTCTGTATGCTGTGAGCATGACGCCCAGGGTCTACGTGCCACTCATCACGGCGTCCTTTGTTGGAGGAATATTGCATTCCACAATACATACAGTGGCCACTTTCAGCCTATCCTTCTGTGGGCCCAATGAAATCAGACATGTCTTTTGTGATATCCCCCCTCTCCTCGCTATTTCCTGTTCTGACACTCGTACAAATGAGCTTCTCCTCTTCCTCTTTGTGAGTTCCATTGAGGTGATCACTATCCTGATTGTCCTCATCTCCTACGGCCTCATCCTATTGGCCATTCTGAAGGTGCCTTCTGCTAACGGGAGGAGAAAAGTGTTCTCCACGTGTGACTCCCACCTCACCGGAGTGTCCATTTATCACGGGACAATCCTCTTCATGTACATGAGGCCAAGCTCCAGCTACGCCTTGGAGCACGACATGATCGTGTAGATATGTTACTCCATTGTCATTCCCATGCTGAACCCCATCATCTACAGTGTGAGGAACAAAGACATCTCAGAGGCGATGAAAAGAATGTTGAGAAAATGTTGGTGTAAGGATACAGCGAATTCTTCTCAGCAAAATGTTAATTGAATCATTTTATGTGTATCTATTCTTACGGAAATTTTAAAAATAAAGAACTTAGTGTGACTATGAAGCTGTCCACACATGTGAATATTTCTTTCTTTCTGAGGTCGTATACAGTTACACTTATACATACACATGGCCATGCATCACGATGCTGGCTCCATCATTTTGCTGGGGTTGCAGTAAGGAAATGCAATAGATGGAGCTGCTTTAACAGCAAGGGTGTATTTGCTGTTTCGGATTTTAGGTGTTAGCAGGTTTCTTTCTTCTGAGCTTTACTTTGTGGTTTATAGATGTCTAGCTTTACCCTCTGTCCTCACATGCCCTTTCCTGTGGCTGTGTCTGTCTCCTAATCTGTCTTTTCTGTAAGCAAATCATGCACGTTGGATTAAAGTTCTAATTTTTATCTAATTACCACTTAAACTAACAATGCATGACTTTCTGAAGTGCAATAGTAGACAACTCTTATTCCTAGTAGATTTTCAGTAGTATTAAACTGATAAAAAATAAGATAAGCAATTATTATGGCTAGATACTACAGGGATGAATGAATTCAATCTGCCAAAGTTAGGGAAGCTGGGCGTGGTGGCACAAGCCTGTAATCCTAGCACTCAGGAGGCTGAAGCAGGAGGATTGTGAGTTTGAGAACAGCTTGGTCTACAAAGTGAGCTCAAGGCCAGCCTGCACTGCATAGTGAGACCCTGTCTCAAAAAGACAAAAAATAAATAAATAAAGTTAGGGAAATAAAATATCTCACTTAAAAAGTTATAATTTTAAAAATTAAACAGTTTGTTAAAATGAAAAAGTAGCAATGTACTCAACATGAAAAAATGATAAAGGCATAGATCTGAGTCAAGCACTACTTTTCAGAGCCATGAATCAAAATATCCAACTCTATTTCAAAATTCGCATAAACATGTAACTCTATAATTAAAAGAAAAAGCCATTCAATTCTTGAAGTAGTCAAAGATGGATGAAAAAACTGTAATAAGAATAATCCTCCACTGTTTTTACTGTTTTTGTGTTGTTTTCTTTTTGTCTTTGTTGTCATTATTATTTTTTTTTAGTCTCTTTAAAACTAAGAAAACAGTAATGCAGGACAGAGACGATGGGTAGGGAGAGAGAGCAAAAGAAGGTAAATAAGACTCACAATTTCAATATGATGGTCTAGTAATTAAATTATAACATTGTTTAAGTGGAAAGGAACTTTAAATCCTTTATTAGATTTTGGTCGCTGCTATGTAGGACTTGTAAGAACTGCTCTGCTGTCTTGAGCAGCACCACACATGACCCAGTGTGGATTCAGTGTTAGAATACCTTGGGTAGGAAAACATTTCTCTCAGTATCTTGCAATCTCACTCCTGTCGGGGGTGATAGTCTTGCTTGGCTGAAAGTTCCCAGTTACCTGTTATTTTTTCATCTCAGTGTTAACCTGTTAGTGACACAGATGGATACTGGCATCTGAATCTCCAAAAGGGCCTGTCACTGTATAAAAAATATTTGTTGAATAACATTTTCTTTCCACAAGTCCAACATTATAAGAATTGACAAAAGCAGTGCCTTTATCCACCTCTGGAGTTGATTATCTCCAGAAATTTGGGACATGAACACATTTTCCTAAGAGAATCATTTTTACATATGTATGAAAGTTGATTTGTTCATGACTGCATGCAAAACTTACAGTAACATTTTCCTCTAATTCTCATTATGTCTATTTTCAAATTCTCCCTTCTCCTCCTCGTTTTGTATTACTATTCCTCAAATGATTTATTTTAGCTTTACTATTATGTTTTAATTTCTTCCTACTGTTCTCAAGGCAACATTTTGATTATACATGAGAGAAAAATTTTGCCCAATGAATTCATTACAAATCTTATCTTAGGCTCAGGGCTGATTATATCTATCCATTCATTTTTCCTTTATAAAATAAAATTAAAGTAAAGAAAAGTACATTAAAATAGTGAACACACCCCACAAATGTGGCCTTCGATGAAGCCAATTACACTCTGAACCAGAATGAAGGTTCTGCTCATTCCTGTGAGGTCTCAAGGCGTGTATTTATCAGCTGTGCACACACAGTGCACGTATCGAAGCCTAGGGCATTGTCCATTGCATATTATATGGGGGATTTGGTTAATAATAGGCTAACTTCTCAGGTCATGGTAGATTAGACTGTAGTCCTGAAATAAGCAAAAAGGAACTGAACACACATTATTATAATAACTGCAAATCTAGAAGTACACATTCAAAAGAAATTCGGGGCACAAAGGATAAATGATTGGGAGACATTGCTATTGTATAAAAAATGTTAAAACATCTTGAGTTGGCTCATTTTCTTCTTTGGATTTTGTTGTTTTCTACTTTTTTTCTGATAAATGTGTGGTATTTCTATGGCCAAGTCATACTTGTAAGTATAAAGTGCTCCAGGTGAAAATTGTTTTGTTCCATGTTTCATGAGATTAATCAATCATAAAATGAGTATATCTCTGGAAAATTTTTCTCCTGAAAACTAGTCAACACTTCCTGATTCAGCATTTGAATGTAAGTATTATTCTCTGCAAGTTTATATAACTGTACACAAAGTTTGGAAGTTAATAAATGAAACGACAACAGTGTAGAGTATCACAAGGGAAGATGATAATGCTCTTAAACATGGAGCTCCTAAGAGAAAACAACTCAAAAAATTCTCTCCATTTAATCCCCGAACTTTCATCCTTGGAGTCACGCCAAGAAATGTTGCTTGGAAATTGCTCCCTGAGGATGACCAAAGGCTTCCATATTCTGAGTGCGTATTATATGAAGCTGGGAATCACCAGCCTTGGAGAGAAGGCATAAGCCCTTCTGCTTATTTTCACATTTCCCCCTCAACTTCTCTACAGACAAAACTTCCTGGTCAAATTTCCATCATTACCAATGGAACAAAATTTCTAGTTTGAAATAATTAACCTCAGAATAAAACATGAATACACAGGAATATAAAGTTAAATTACAGGAACATAAAGTTTAATATAAATAGTATAGCATAGAAATTTTGAACTCCTGAAGTGGTTTTCATATTTTTTTGTCAAGAAAAATCTGAACTGCACAAATTTTCAAGTGAATGCTCTCAGAAGAAGGTTTTCTTTTTTTTTTTTTTTTTTTTTTGTCTTTTTGAGAGAAGGTCTAAGGTCTCGCTATGTAGTTCAGGCTGGCCTTGCGCTCACTTTGTAGCCCAGGCTGGTCTCGAACTCACAAGGATCCTCCTGCCTCAACCAGCCTCCAGAGTACTGGGATTACAGGAGTGAGCCACCACGCCCAGCCAGAAGAAGGTTCATTTTCAGCCTTTCTCTCACAGTAAGTATTTCTAAAATCGGGGGCAATTACATTAGATAAATAAAATGGGAGTTTTATCAGACTAATATATATGCATGCACATATTATTTAGGCCTTACGAATAATGTTGTGACTTGCAAAACAGTAAGATAGAGTTGGTGGAATCAACATATGCAAGCAGCATACATTTCTGAAGACGTAATTTATGCAAAAATGTTTATTTTGAGTAGACATTAGAATCACACATCGTTATCAGAATTGAAGATCACTAGTACCTTTACTCTCCCCAAAAAAGATGGAGAAAATTTATTTGGTGGGGACAAAAGGGTTTATTCAGCTCTAATCCAAAGGAGAAAGAGGGGCTCTGATGGCCTCAAAGCTCTATCCCGTGTATAGGGGTTTAAGGACTTTTATGACAAAGTCACCCGAAGCCCTCTTCCATTCTTGTCCAAATTAAACCAGACCTTGAACTGCCAGGGTCTTATCTGAATATTCTCTCCTGAGGGACACAATATTTTTCTGACACACCAGAACTTTTCAGTCCAATATGCGGATAGGCGGGAAGGGGTGTTCTTGGTCAGAGGATGTCAGAGAAGAAACAAGTCTATAAAACTCCCAATTCCTAAAGGTGTCTTTTCCTCTCTCAGTTACCAGATCTTCAAGAATTTGACACTGCACACTCTCTAATCTTCATGTGCCTCAGCGAACTCCCAAGACAGAAATTATTTCAATTCATAGGAAACACATTGGGTATTAAAATTGGGAATAATGCATAAAAATTGATATTAGCATAAAAAATTGCACACTCTTTTTCAGGTTTGCTAAAACTACTTATAACAGAAGCACAGAATCTCATAAGCATGTTCTCTGAAATCAAAATATCTTGATAGAATCACAGTGTCAACATGTAGTTGCTCTGATTTCACATGAGTAATATTCTGCGCCCTTTTTCCGCACAAAATGTCTGGGAAATAATCCCTATGGTATGATACCTTCATGTGAATTGAACATATTAACGAAGGAAAGTGCTTCCAGTAATATCAGGCTCATACTAAAAACAAGATGTAACCTTTGAATATAAAGAATCAAATGTGAATTTACACCCATATCTATACATACCAATTAAATAGTTTTGCTCACATTCTGTATAATTTTTGTCAATATTTGGAAACATTAATTATAAAAAATGCCACTGAGGAAAACAAAAATATTTTTGCAGTTAGTTAAGTATTAACTTTGATTTCTCAGTAATTTAAAACAATATATCATGGATAGAAGGAACTCCACCGGTGTGCCTGACTTCATCCTCCTGGGGCTGGCGGACTCTGCAGAGGCGCAGCTGCTCCTCTTCCTGCTCTTCCTCCTCATCTACCTGGTCACGGTGCTGGGGAACGCAGGGATGATGCTGCTCATTCGCCTGGATGCCCAGCTGCACACCCCCATGTACTTTTTCCTCACCCACCTGTCCTTTCTCGACCTCAGCTACTCCAGCGTCATCACCCCTAGAACCTTACAGAACTTACTGGCTTCCTCCAAGAGCATCTCGTTCC